TTATTATTATTATTCTTATTATGATTATTATTATTATTATTATTATTAATATTATATATACACATCATATGTCATGTTTAATATGCCGTTTTTTTTTCTCTATGTTTTTTTTACACATCGATATCTACGACTATGCAAGTCTATGCTTGCTTGTGCTTCTCATGCGCAGTTTGCTCTTCCTCAGCAACATGGCTGGGAATATACTTAAAAGTCTTACAGCATACTTTAAGAGTTATGGGTACATATTATTACATATTGGCAGACACCGCCGAACTTGACGCAAACTTTAGATGCATCTACATGTAAAGCATAAGTTTTCAGTTTGAGTTCTGAATGAGTCCAAGGCCGCATGGGCCGCCGCCTTCTTATGTCGAGCGGCCTGCACCCTCTCAGTACGAGGTGGGCCGTCGATGGTTCATTGCAGATTCATCTGTTGTTGCATGTGTACATTTGTGTTTCTACGCACTTGAATATGTTTGCGAATACATAAATGCATACATGCATGCATGCATGCATGCATGCATACATATTTTCACACATACATGCGCCTCACATTGGTAGTTACGTTTAGGTGTGTATGTTTATGCGTTATACGTGCATACAGGCAGAGATGCAGTATAAGAGCACCTATGCACAGATACAGCCATACATACTGCTTTGATGAAGTCCGACCGTGTATAGCTGCTCCTTTCAGTACTGAGAGCTTTAGCAGCTTCAGCCTACCAGTGGGTGCCGAAGTCTCCATGCCGCTGGTGCTGAACTACCGTTTCACTTTTATTGATGCCACAGATGGCGAAGAGGCAGCTCAGGCTGTCCGGGTTCGACGGGCGCAGACACCGCCGCCTGCGCGTACTGGTTGTCTGAGTCACTTGGGTGAAGATGCACTTCCAGAAGAGGTCGAGACGGCTCGCTGTCGAGACTACTTGAAGGGCTTGATGCAGGAACGTGGGCTTGTTGCTCACAGTCCTGAGTCCAATCGGATGCAGTGTGGAAGCGAGGACGCAAAGGTCTCACCGGAATCGGTGAATGTTGGCAGCTTGGGCCATCCCATCGCATGCCGCCGCCCCTGTGTGCACATGATGGCGCGTCGTCACTGCCAAAATGGCAGCGTTTGCGGCTACTGCCATTTCCCACACCGGCGGGAGGCCGGACTAAAGTGACTAAAGCAAATGAAGGTCGTGTCGGTGTCAACTGATTTCTAGCTGCCAGCTGCGGGACTAGGTAAGTCAACCCACAGTTATTGAATGATTTATCCAGTGGCTGCAATGCTCGAGTCAGGTCAAGTTGGACAGGGAGCAGCGGGCCATGGTCCATCAGATGCCGTATGGCGACTTCTTGTGGATCGTAGTCGAGGTGTTGAAGACGAAAGCCGGCGAGGTCACCAAGCCGACTGTCTGGGAGGCCGTGCACCTCTTGGAGGAGGAAGCGCAGTTTGCGGGAGCCGTTGGAGCTCAGTTGGATGTGAAAGCCATGAAGAAATTTAAGAAAGGCCTGCAGCATCTGAATATTTTGAGCTTGTTTGCGTTGGCCAAGCGCAGGTGCCGGGACAGTGTCTGTGAAGAGCTCACGCAGCTTGCTGCAGAGCTCCGCTTTCAGGCATGACCCGACCATTCGTGAACAAGAGTGTCTGCCATGCTCATGGCAGAGAAAGCCATTCAATGCCCTCTACCGAATTGGACAGGGCAATGCCTCCAGGCAACTGTTTTGCAGTGGAAGCTGGGAAGGAGCATGTCAATGTCCTTTCACAGACTCGTTTGGGCACTCCTGCAAAGTCCTTTTGATGGAATTTAAACACTGTTTGCTTTTGTATTCGTAGCCTGCTAACTCAGAATCTAGAGCACATTTCCCTTTTTGAGTGTGCAGTGTCCAGCCCTGCTGCATTAAATACGCACGATGACACTGCGCGGAGATCCGAGCGCTGAAGTCGCGGCATCATGCCTCCATCGCAGACATCTCAGGATTTGCAACAAGGCACTTGCAGCTCTAAGGTAGTATCAGGATTGTACACTGAAGAGACTGACGCTCGGTCGTCGCAGTGAAAGTTGTGGTGTGTTGTCTGGCACAAGCTAAACAAATTCAATCCGACCGATAGCCGAGTTCCGTGAGACTCTGAGCGACGGCCTTTCCTTCCTCCGTCGCAGCTGTGAAGATGGTGTGAAGTGTGGATTTGAGCGGGATGGGTCTGCTGTGTAAACGTAACTAAGCGAGGACAGCACTATCATGTGCTACTCTGGGATATGAAAGTGTTCAGTGGCTCAGCATGTGGGTGCAGGCATCCGCAGGCCCATCCTGACAGCCAACGCTGTCTGATGAACGATCAATTAGATCGGTTAGAGCACAGTCTGTGAAACGCCGGGGCTTGACAGATTTGCGCGTAAACGGAGACGGTAGATGACATGCGAATAGTGGACCAGGATGTTTACAGACTTGGGTCTCGAGCCGTCGCATGGCATTTCAATATATTTCAATGCATGGGCTAAAGGTGCTGCCAATTGGCAATACATGTTTTGATGCACGTAGATACACCGCTGTGGGACGTGAGGAAAAGTGGACAGGAACGCTTTGAAGGTAGCGCCAAAGAGATGGTGGTGGTGTGGCCGCTAAGAGACGAACTGGTTCCCTTGTGCGCTGGCAGGATCTCCCTGCAGGTCCACCCAGAGGTCTCCGACTCGTTTGCATGGGCTGGAAACGTGGCAACATAACGTCTGCATATGTCCAGAGTACGGAGGGGCCGAAGTAGGCCGTCTACTCGTGCTTGTTCCGATTGATGTTTGATGCACGTTCAGCCCATTGTGCGGGATTGGGCTAGGAAAGGTCTCTCGGTGTATGGCACTGACGAGTCATAAGTAGCAGCATGAGGTGGCTCTAAGGCGCAGCAACGAACGCAGTAACTTCGCAGATCGTCAGAGCCTCCAAGACCTCAAAAATCCAGGCAACCTTTGAAAAGGGAAGGAATCCCCTGAATTCAGAGCAGCGTGCATTAAAGTCCGTAAAGCCGAAATCGGGCTCAGTGCCCTGGTTGTCTAAGTGCCGAGTCTACCCATGGAACTCTTGGTTTCAGTCTACTGGGCGTCACTTTCTTGCTTTGGTCCAGCTCCTATGAGCCCATGCGCTTTGGATGTGCAAGGCGGCCCAGGCTGTGGTCACAGGATGGGCGACGAGGGCAAGGGTGGGCGTGGGGCCCGGACAAGGAACACCAAAGTTGTCATTGTCGTGACCACTGCACCGTGCCACAGCATGAAGCTCGAATCTTCCTGAACTGTGAGATATTTGAAAGATGTGAGACATGAGCAAGATTCGGTACTATGGGCGTGCCAGGCTGCTTCGGGTGTCTCAGATGTCCTCCCAAGTAGTTGATGTGTTGTGAAAATGTTGCATGTAGGTGCCACGAGGCAGCGGTTTTGTTAAAGCCTCTTTCTGTCTGACTGCCGTGATTCCTACTTCTGGCCTGTGGCAGAACGGAGCAGACAACAGATCATGATCGTGTTGTTGTCATATCGTATGTGGCTTTGCAGAGCCCCTTGGAAGTGGCTTATCCGGAGCGGAGCGGAGGCCAGCTGCGCCGCGGCCCCCTGGCGCCATGACGTCACATGTACAGGAGGGCAAGGACTCAGAGCATGCATCAGAGATGCGGTTGTTGTTGTTGTTGTTGCCCTCGGCCATCATCTGCCAGGACAGAAATGGTCACGTCGCCTACGGCATGCCAGGCACGGGAGGGGCTGGCCTCATGCTGGAATGGATGTGAATGCTGCGGAGCTGCAGAATACAGATTTGAAGCCCAACGCCTTTCCTGGCGCTCGTGGCCGGGTTTCGGCAGGAGCGGTCGAGGGCAAGGGAGCCAGCGTTGCGGCCCGAGACGGCTTTCATGCGCCTTTCCGAGCGCCTGTGGAGCTCAGACTTCCCTTGTCCGATAGGGGAGTTTCCAAAAATTAGGGTACCTTATTTTGGGATCCTATTATTTAGGGTACTATATTGAGGTCCCCTATTTTCGGAAACCCCCATAGAGTAAAACAACTGGGCTTTCGGGAGGGTCCGGGTGGAGCCCTAGATAAGCCCTGAGCTTGACAAGGCCTGAACATGCCAAGCCCCAAACCCAACGCTGTGACTCCCGACCGAGGGGGTACCTGGAAAGACAAGCACTAGCATAAAAGCCTTTTCTAGCTGGAAAATTGTCTTGCTCTGCCCCTGTGCCTTCTGCGGTCTCTCTCTTTCGATTTTTGTCATGCTTACTGAAAGTATATGGCAGATGTGCACCAGTACATATAGGCATTCTCGGATAAACCCGCCTAAACGGTAAGTCGGAGTTTCAGACGATGAACGGCCGACCCTTGCAGCTCCCAAGTACTACGAATACTCCAAAACCACTGCCGGCCCACCTGACAAAACCCCAAAGCCACCCAGATCTACAGTTTTAGGGGTTCGGTTTTGTGAGGTCTTACTACGACTACTACCACTGTATCAACATCAACATCATTCTCTATACTAAGAAGGAATATGACTAGTACCATGAGTATGAATATGAATGTTATTCTTAGGACTTCTTTGGCGGCCTGATACTTCCATGTATAACTGCCCATGAACCTCCAAGTACCCCC